GAAAAGAAACAAAGTGGGTTGAACGAAGGAGGCTAATGATTAAGGTAAAAGTGCGCATTTCTCGTAGATATGCAAATAGTGAAGGTAAAAAAGGGAAATTTAAAACAACTTTGCAATTTATGACTTGTCAAAAGTGACAGATACAAAATTTTTATTTACAATTAATTTCAATTTTAAGTTATTCTTTTTAATAACCTCACTATTAACGAAACAAAAAGACATATATATTCTTTTTCTTTTTGCAATAGATTAATAACAAAAAAAAACTTTTACATCAAAATAATTATTTTATTTTTGAAACAATTTAAGTTGGTATTGATTTAAAACACAACCTCACAAACTTCCGAGTTGTCAAAGATGACGTTTCGTAATGTGTCAAATTAAAAAATATTTTTTTGTTTAAAATTTTCGATTTAAATAAAGTTGTGGTGAGTTAATATTGATATCTTTTAGGAGAAATGAACTTGGAGATGTTTCTAATCACCATCGAGGATATGGAAGAGATTGAGTTGGAGTCGGAACCGGAAAAATACAGCTGAGATGTTTTATTAAGAAATTATGAATTAAAAAAATTTGGATTATTTTAAACAAAAAGTACGTAGATTTTATCGATTCTTATTTATCTTTATATTTATTTTTTTTAAATTAATACTTTTTACTAAAAAATTAGTAATTTTCATTTTCGATATAATTTAAGTTGGTATTAAATTAAAATTTGAAACAACCTCGCAAATTACGACTTGTCAAAACTGACAGATACGAAATTTTGATTTACAAAGAATTAATTTAAATTTAAAATTAACCATTTTAATAATCTCATTATTAATAAATCAAAAAGAAATACATTTCTTTTTTGTTGAATAAATTAATAACAAAAAAAGTTTACATCAAAATAATTATTTTATTTTTGAAACAATTTTAGTTGGTATTGATTTAAAACACAACCTCACAAACTTCCGAGTTGTCAATGATGACGTTTCGTAATGTGTCAAATTAAAAAATAATTTTTTGTTTAAAATTTTGATTTAAATAAAGTTGTGGTGAGTTAATATTGATATCTTTTAGGAGAAATGGACTTGGAGATGTTTCTAACCACCATCGAGGATATGGAAGAGATTGAGTTGGAGTCGAAACCGGAAAAATAAAGGTGAGATGTTTTATTAAGAAATTAGGAATTGAAAAAATTTGACGGAAAATTTTTATGATTTTAAACAAAAAGTACGTAAATTTTATCGATTCTTATTTATCTCTATATTTATTTTTTTTTGAATTAATAGTTTTTATTAAAAAATTAGAAATTTTCATTTTCGATATAATTTAGGTTGGTATTAAATTAAAATTTGAAACGACCTCGCAAATTACGACTTGTCAAAAGTGACAGATACGAAATTTTGATTTATAAAGAATTAATTTAAATTTAAAATTAATCTTTTTAATAACCTCGCTATTAATAAATCAAAAAGAAATACATTTCTTTTTGTTGAATAAATTAATAACAAAAAAAGTTTATATCAAAATAATTATTTTATTTTTGAAACAATTTTAGTTGGTATTGATTTAAAACACAACCTCACAAACTTCCGAGTTGTCAAAGATGACGTTTCGTAATATGACAAATTAAAAAATACTTTTTTGTTTAAAATTTTGATTTAAATAAAGTTGTGGTGAGTTAATATTGATATCTTTTAGGAGAAATGGACTTGGAGATGTTTCTAATCAACATCGAGGATAATGGAAAGAGTGAGTTGGAGTTGGAACCGGAAAAATAAAGGTAAGATGTTTAATTAAGAAATTATGAATTAAAAAAATGTGACGGAAAATTTGGATTATTTTAAACAAAAAGTACGTAGATTTTATCGATTCTTATTAATCTACATTTATTTTTTTTAAATTAATACTTCTTACTAAAAAATTAGTAATTTTCATTTTCGATATAATTTAAGTTGGTATTAAATTAAAATTTGTGACATACCAAATTTTGATTTACAAAGGATTAATTTAAATTTAAAATTAATCTTTTTAATAACCTCGGTATTAATAAATCAAAAAGAAATACATTTCTTTTTTGTTGAGTAAATTAATAACAAAAAAAGTTTACATCAAAATAATTATTTTATTTTTGAAACAATTTTAGTTGGTATTGATTTAAAACACAACCTCACAAACTTNATACTTCGTGGATCTCTAGAAATAGCTATAAATCTCTGGGAATCGTTACAAGACTCTGGACGTTCTTACAAACTCTCGAGATGCTGTGAAACCTTAAAAGCCATTTTAATCTAACCACAGTTGCGCATGATATCAATTCAAAAGATAATCCCACTTTGCATTAGTTAAATAAAGAGGAAAAAAATTTAATGCAAAAGGAAATTGCAGAAAAAGAAAAGAACAAAGTGGATGAAACGAAGGAGGCTAATGATTAAGGTAAAAGGGTTGCTTGTGCATTTCTCGTAGATATGCAAATAGGATGGTAAAAAGAGGGCGCGTTTCGAATCCAACGAAAGGGGGAGAGATAAAGTGTGAATAAAGCCATTTTGGAGAATCTCTTGGACTCGCGACGGGGCCGACCTCGCGATGTGCTTTGTCTACTCATAACGATCGATGCCACGTGACCTTCGACCCCAAATAACGCCCACGCGTCGAATTCTTCCACACCGCTTTAATACAAACTTTCCAAAATAACGAAAAAAATTTAAATTTCCTTGTATTCGAGGTTAACGAATCATTCTAATCGAAAAACATAATGAAATTACCAGAACTAATTTTCTTTTTGATTTCTTTCCATAACATGGAGAAAGTCTGGAAAAGTAATAATTTCCAATTACATCGTTGGAAGTGAGTGCGAAAAGGATGATGAGGAAGAGAGAGAAAATAGGCAGCCTTATAACGAAGTGAATCGAGTCGTTATAAAAGGGAGAACCGATAGCGTAGCTGAACTCGTTGAAAAGGTTGTATTTCAGCTTCGACAACAACAACCGCGGAATAAAGAAACGATTTTCCTAGGTTTTAATTAATTTTTTCGTTTATTTGCTTTGCGGCAAACTAAATTAATGCGAAAGTTTCGCACATTTAATAACAACGTCAGGATGCGAAAGTATTGAGTTGAAATGTGAAGTCACTGTTTTTCAAATTTGGGTATGCACCCGGTTGTAAAGATCAATACCACCCGGTTCCGGTTGTTTTCTTATCCAGACCATGACAGAAAAGTCGATAATGGAATTTTCAAGAAAATTTTTTAAACACAACAAAAGTGTTGGGAATGCTACGAGTAATTAAGGTTCTAAAACAAATAAATTATGCTCTATCTCGTCTGAAAAGCGACGTTTAAAGCTTGAAAATAACTCGACAGTCACACGTATGCTCGAGGACGTTAAAATAATTAATATCTTCGCCTTGGGGGATTTTTGAGTTAAATAACTCGGAAACACGTAACCAAGGGTTACAACGAAATCATCAACTTGATAAATTTACCAACGTATTTTAACCGGTTTTATTAAAGCGGAAAACAATTTGGAAAAGCTTCGAAACGTTGGCGTTTATTACGGAATTGTGTAAAATAGGGAAATTGTAAAACTGGTCAGTTTGTGTGACACGGTTTTAATTAAAACTCTATTTTTAACTAAAAAAAATTTGCTTTTCTGCTAAAACAACATTTCAAATCAAATCGTTTTGCGAAATAGGCAAAGTTTGTCTTCTGCAAATTTCTGTAATCAGTTTTTAGTCTCCTGCAAGCAATATTTAATCTCCTCCAGGCAGTATCTAGTCTCATACATGCAGTATTAGTTTCTGCAACCAGTAGGTTGTCTTCTGCAAGCAGTATTTCATATTTTGTAAGCACTTTTTAGTTTTTTGCAAACAGTATCTAGTCTTCTGCAAATCGTTTTGCGAAATAGGTAAAGTTTATCTTCTGCAAACTTCTGTAATCAGTTTTTAGCCTCGTACAAGCAATATTTAATCCCCTCCAGGCAGTATCTAGTCTCATACAAGCAGTATTAGTTTTTGCAACCAATAGGTTGTTTTCTGCAAACAGTATTTCATATTTTGTAAGCACTTTTTAGTTGTCTGCAAACAGTATCTAGTCTTCTGCAAGTATTATTAACTTCTGCGAGTAACATATCGTCTCCTGCAAGCAGTATCTGGTCCCATACAAGCAGTATTAACTCCTGCAACCAGTAGGTAGTCTTCTGCAAAGAGTATTTAATCTTCTGGAACCAGTATTTAACTTGCTACAAGCAACTTTTAGTCTTCTAGGAAGGAAATTGTAAAATTGGTCAATTTGAGTGACACGGTTTTAATTAAAACTCTATTTTTAACTAAAAAAAATTTGCTTTTCTGCTAAAACAATATTTTAAATCAAATCGTTTTGCGAAATAGGTAAAGTTTGTCTTCTGCAAACTTCTGTAATCAGTTTTTAGCCTCCTACAAGCAATATTTAATCTCCCCCAGGCAGTATCTAGTCTCATACAAGCAGTATTAGCTTCTGCAACCAATAGGTTGTTTTCTGCAAACAGTATTTCACATTTTGTAAGCACTTTTTAGTTTTCTGCAAACAGTATCTAGTCTTCTGCAAGTACTATTAACTTCTGCGAGTAATATATCGTCTCCTGCAAGCAGTATCTGGTCCCATACAAGCAGTATTAATTTCTGCAACCAGTATATAGTCTTTTGCAAACAGTATTTAATCTTCTGTAACCAGTATTTAACTCGCTACAAGCAACTTTTAGTCTTCTAGGAAGGAAATTGTAAAATTAGTCAATTTGAGTGACACGGTTTTAATTAAAACTCTATTTTTAACTAAAAAAAATTTGCTTTTCTGCTAAAACAATATTTTAAATCAAATCGTTTTGCAAAATAGGTAAAGTTTGTCTTCTGCAAACTTCTATAATCAGTTTTTAGTCTCCTGCAAGCAATATTTAATGTCCTACAGGTTGTATCTGGTCTCATACAAGCAGTATTAGCTTCTGCAACCAATAGGTTGTTTTCTGCAAACAGTATTTCATATTCTGTAAGCACTTTTTAGTTTTCTGCAAACAGTATCTAGTCTTCTGCAAGCATTATTAACTTCTGCGAGTAATATATCGTCTCCTGCAAGCAATATCTGGTCCCATACAAGCAATATTAATTTCTGCAACCAGTATATAGTCTTCTGCAAACAGTATTTAATCTTCTGTAACCAGTATTTAACTTGCTACAAGCAACTTTTAGTCTTCTAGGAAGGAAATTGTAAAATTGGTCAATTTGAGTGACACGGTTTTAATTAAAACTCTATTTTTAACTAAAAAAAATTTGCTTTTCTGCTAAAACAATATTTTAAATCAAATCGTTTTGCAAAATAGGTAAAGTTTGTCTTCTGCAAACTTCTATAATCAGTTTTTAGTCTCCTGCAAGCAATATTTAATGTCCTACAGGTTGTATCTGGTCTCATACAAGCAGTATTAGCTTCTGCAACCAATAGGTTGTCTTCTACAAACAGTATTCCATATTTTGTAAGCACTTTTTAGTTGTCTGCAAACAGTATCTAGTCTTCTGCAAGCGTTATTAACTTCTGCGAGTAACATATCGTCTCCTGCAAGCAGTATCTGGTCTGATACAAGCAATATTAATTTCTGCAACCAGTATATAGTATTTTGCAAACAGTATTTAATCTTCTGTAACCAGTATTTAACTTGCTACAAGCAACTTTTAGTCTTCTAGGAACAATATATCGTCTCCTGCAAGCAGTATCTGGTCCCATACAAGCAGTATTAATTTCTGCAACCAGTATATAGTATTTTGCAAACAGTATTTAATCTTCTGTAACCAGTATTTAACTTGCTACAAGCAACTTTTAGTCTTCTAGGAACGAAATTGTAAAATTGGTCAATTTGAGTGACACGGTTTTAATGAAAACTCTATTTTTAGCTAAAAAAAATTGCTTTTCTGCTAAAACAATATTGTAAATCAAATCGTTTTGCGAAATAGGTAAAGTTTGTCTTCTGCAAACTTCTGTAATCAGTTTTTAGCCTCGTACAAGCAATATTTAATCCCCTCCAGGCAGTATCTAGTCTCATACAAGCAGCATTAGCTTCTGCAACCAATAAGTTGTCTTCTGCAAACAGTATTTCATATTCTGTAAGCACTTTTTAGTTTCCTGCCAACAGTATCTAGTCTTCTGCAAGCACTATTAACTTCTGCGAGTAATATATCGTCTCCTACAAGCAGTATCTGGTCCCATACAAGCAGTATTAACTCCTGCAACTAGTAGGTAGTCTTCTTCGAACAGTATTTAATTTTCTGTAACCAGTATTTAATTTGTTACAAGCAACTTTTAGTCTTCTAGGAAGGAAATTGTAAAATTAGTCAATTTGAATGACACGGTTTTAATTAAAACTCTATTTTTAACTAAAAAAAATTGCTTTTCTGCTAAAACAATGTTTTAAATCAAATCGTTTTGCGAAAAACTTAAAGTTTGTCTTCTACAAACTTTTGTAATCAGTTTTTAGCCTCCTACAAGCAATATTTAATCCCCTCCAGGCAGTATCTAGTCTCATACAAGCAGTATTAGCTTCTGCAACCAATAAGTTGTCTTCTGCAAACAGTGTTTCATATTCTGTAAGCACTTTTTAGTATTCTGCAAACAGTATCTAGTCTTCTGCAAGCATTATTAATTTCTACGAGCAATATATCGTCTCCTGCAAGCAGTATCTGGTCCCATACAAGCAGTATTAACTTCTGCAACCAGTAGGTAGTCTTCTGCAAACAGTATTTAATCTTCTGTAACCAGTATTTAACTT